CTCTCTCTCTCTCTCTCTCTCTCTCTCTCTCTCTCTCTCTCTCTCTCTCTCTCTCTCTCTCTCTCTCTCTCTCTCTCTCTCTCTCTCTCTCTCTCTCTCTCTCTCTCTCTCTCTCTCTCATCTCCCCCTCTATCTTAGTCTCGCCCTTCTCTCATTCGGCCAGAGACTATAATCCTAGTTTACATGAAATGCTCGCATTAGGGCCAAGAAACCAAAAGACGAACGCGACCGTTAATGCCAGGCAATCAAATTGCATCGGCTGCTCGCATTGAAATTCACGTAATAAAAGCCGCGCAAATTTGATTCTCCACCGGCCATCGCATCCGACTCACCACGCCTAGTAACCACGCCTGACAGACGGCGACCCCTGGTGGCGATTCACGGAACTTTTTTCGCACACAGCGGTTCGCGGTTCGTCATTGCTCGCGGATGTGGCAGAGAACCCCCCCCCCCCCCCACTGAGGTTTCGCCGAAACCCGCGTCTTGTTTTGAAGACAGAATTGTAAAACGGGAGGTAAAAACGCCGGGAGCATAAATGACAGATATGTAGTGGTTAAGAGCGAGAGCCTGAGTACTGATTACCTGCAGATCAATTACAGTTTCCTGATTGGCTGCGCTGGTTTTTAGGGCAACATGGCGGCGCGCGCACGCCTGTATAATGTACCCGCCTATATAATCAGACTCCGGGTGAGATTTGAAGACTTACCGTTTCCTTGTCGGGCAGCAATTCCTTACGGATGCGGAAGAAATTCTTTCCGTATTGCCGTAGTCCTTTAGCAAATCGTTTCTGAAAGCGAAATAAATGGAAAGACGTGGCGCGTCACTGCGACAACAATACCCGCGCGCTATCACGCCGAAACAGGACAATGGAGCAATCGTCGATAACGGGTAATTTCCCGCTGATCCCCGCCGGAGCTCAGTAATATGTCGCATCGATTCACCCCCGCTGAGCCCATCCTGAGGTAATTGAAAGTGTTGACAAATCAGGGAAGAATTCACGAGCGCTGAATTATGAGATGATGATGGCGAGGCTTAATGGAAATTGGCCAGACATTCCCACTAATGATTGCCAGTAACTCTCCATGCATGCAAGTCAAATGAGCGAATGCAGACAAACGCACCAGACAAATAATATAAAACGAATGAGAATACGACGAAGACAGTGAGAGAGGAAGCGTGCATGAGCAAGAGAGAGCGAGAGAGAGAAGGAGAGTGTGAGAGAGATACACAGAGAGAGAGAGAGAGAGAGAGAGAGAGAGAGAAAGTGAGAGAGAGGGAGAGAGAGAGAGAGAGAGAGAGAAGGAAAGTGAGAGAGAGTGAGAGAGAGAGAGAGAAAGAGAGACAGAGAAAGAGAGAAAGAGAGAGAGAGAGAGAGAGAGAGAGAGAGAGAGAGAGAGAGAGAGAGAGAGAGA